TAATATAATATAAAACTTAGAAATGACATCATCATTATTTAACATGAGTTGTTACATAACCGGCAAATGATAATAAACACAATAAAATACACTACAGTATACAGTATTGGACCAACCTTTTTAACCCGTTTTAAATCAATTGCTAATAACGGTTGGAATAATATGGGAATAGAATTGCACCTAATTTTTGGGACAGTTATTAAAAAACTTATTGTTGTATCAATGGATCAATTATCCAATCAAGTATTTTGGGTATTAAAAAAGTAAACTCCTATCAAGTCATTTATTTAATATTCACATCAAAAATGTCGATTTTTGTTTTAAATATAATGTTTAGTCTTTGAATGATTAAATGCTTGTCGTATCTATAGCTGACTTTAACCTACAATTCAATGCAATAATTGTGTGCAATACTACTGTACAGTACAGTACAGTATTGAGATTGAATTGTATATAATATAATAATTGTGAACAAATGAGTAGAAAGAGAAGTCATATATTAGATACCTTTCTTTTTGGCCGATTTGGGAGTAGTAGCGGTAGATTCGGGTCCAGTTCCCGGTCCTGACGAGTGTCCGCCGTCACGATCGAGTGCCTCATTGGCTGAGTCCTCGTCGTCTAGTGATGACTGGGGTTGTGATGTCTGAGAGCTGTCGCGATTGGGATTGCAATGGTTTGATGAGGACATTGATTGCAGAGATGGCGGCGTCGAGTCGTTTATGTGATTATTGGCTAATTTGTTAGGAGTTGAAGGCACTGATGGCTCAACCGATGCCGGAATCGCCGAATCGTTAGTTAGGTTTTCGTCAGCACTTGAATTGCGTTTTGAGGTCTGAATGTGTCATAAATACAGTACATGTTATATACAGTATATAGTGGACAACAACCGATTCAATTGAATACCTCTGGTTTGTGGACTTCTCCCAGAGTCGGCCAATCATTTATATCATTAATCGGCGCGACTTTTGTCTGTTTTATCAATACATCATTAGTTACACATAAATATTCAATTTTATATTCAAGTATATGTCATTCAAATCAACACCGGTATCACAAAAATGGCACAAATAAGTGGACAAACCTTTGGTGAACTCTTCAGTACATTAAGGCTTTGTTGAGATGCGACTGAATTCAGAGAATTAGCTGAATTGGAGGCTGAGTTCGTCCACGAGTTGCTTGAAATCCCTGTTAATCGCGATTTGAGATCATTATTAAACACTCATTTTAGAAGATATAAAAGTTATAACAAATATGTTTAACGATTCACTAAAATCAATGAAACGGAAGTTCGAGAGTAAATGCAATGCAAAGAAATTAATTAAAATAAAAAATTTATATTTAAAAGCAATTCATAAAAAGAAAAGCAATTAAAATGGAAAGAGAGACCAAACTTCATGTGAACGATAGGCACAGTAGTAGTGTTGGTGTTATTGGATCTGTTAGTGATGGCAGCAGTATTTGGCATCAAATGTGAGCTCCATATGGATCACACACTCAAACACCACTACACTATACATAACACTCTCCCTCCTCTCCACCAACAATACAAAACACTTTTAATTTTGTTCATTAACTCTATGTTTCAATGTGTGGTGTATATTGTTTTCAGTGTTTCATATGTTATATCACTTCTCATTAATACAGTCGTCATTAAATCATTTCAAGCATTTGTCTCTCATTTGAGAGGAGAGAGAGAGAGAGAGAGGGAGAGAGAGAGAGAGTAATAACTTTAATAGTAAGCCATTGAATAGAAAGTGAATAAAACATGAATTGATATACAGTATAAATACAATCTCATGATAAATAAACCAGCAGACTTTTTGATTAGATATCATTATTAATTATTTCCTTAATTTTAAAGGTAACGGAAATATTTAGTTTTCCAATTGACAGTCAATCAAGAAGCTTGTCATAAAAAGTATGAAAAATAAATTACAGTAATTATTATTAATGATTCGCTCAATAAAATATTTAAATAAATATTTATTTAAATATTTTATACAATATGTAATACATGTCATTAGTAATTATTGTAATTACTAACTAGCGTTGTATTGAATGTATTATAAAAACTAAAATGTATGCTTTAAGAAATTTCTAAAATGTTTGATACCTTGGTACTACCCTTACCATTAATTACATTACAAAATACTGAATAGTAAGTATGGGTCAGAGTACTACCTGTGCACATTTACATCACTCACTCACTCACTCACTCACACATAGGGTGGATTGGCATACATTGGATGTATAATACATGTGTATTATTCTATGTATTATACATGTAGAATACATGAGCCCATTTACCATACATACATGAAATCCCGCCCCCTATTGAGAAAACTGTCAA